GACGAATGTCGGAGAGATCGGTAATATAATATTTCGCAACCATATGACATCCAACCTACTTTTTTTTCTCACAACCAACAGTCAATTCTAATACAGCAATCTATCTGTTGCCAACACACAAGAGCCGTGTTACCATTACCGTATAAATCAACCCCTCCACTAACACAACAAGCGCCGTCCGCAAATACATCGCAGAGTTCTTGGAAACCCTCCAAAGGTAACTCTCATAGCGACAGTTCCTTGACCTGTGGAGCTATTTGTACCTCTGTGTGCGATGACGGGTTACTTGTTGATGTGAAAGAACAGTTGGGGTTTTCAGGGATGAGCGTCTTGAGATGTCAAGTGGGAGAAAAGGTGAATGTCCAATGAAGAGGATATTGTTAGGACGAGAAGTGTTTTCAGTTAAATCTAGGAAAAACAACTTTCAGGGAGGGAATACCGTTCTTGTTTGTTTGGCAACCTAAACATTCTTTTCAAAGTTAATGAGCTTTTTTCAATCCTTGAAAGCTTCAGTGCCAAACAAGATCTAAGATTACCATTGCGATTGGGAAACTTCCTGTTGTGAACACAAATGACACACTTTACAATTGTTAACGTCTTTACATGTTTTTAACTTTCGTACTGATGATGTTATATGGTCATTCCGGTCCACATGAACTATATGGTCTGGCACATTTGACTCCAACACATGGATTCTGCAGGACTGTTTACATTTGGCAATCCCTGACAGATAAACGTAATTAAATAAACATGTTTTACGACAGCGAAATATATTACATTTAACGCCAAATCTCATTCACTTACATGCGCCACTTATAACGCCATTATTCTGTGTGCACACTAATTTCCAAGGTTGGGCACAGTGGTATCTCGTTTGGGACCGAGAGAGACTGACTTTTGAAAGTTGTCATTAGTATTCGGACAACGCGATCCAACGCCCTGCCAATAATATAATGTTACTAAAGTCTAGAACAAGGCTAACTATTATACAGCAGAGAAAATGCAACATGCTTTTAATGCTTGATAGAACTGCATTTTGAACTTAAAGGCGAGGTATATTATGGGAACATATTAATATTCCAGCTCATGATAGACAAATATTCAGAACCTTTTAGAGACTCGGCCATGACATCACATTGATCTGTGGCAGTTTCAACACGTTGAAGAGTATTACAATTTGTACATTCTGGGAAATGTCTTTATTCAGAATGTGTATTATTCACGAGTGCAATGCCCCTAGTCTGGTTAGGAGAACCCCTTCTCTCCTATTGCTTCTGGTTATAAGGAAGGTTTTAATGAAATGCTTGCATGCCATAGAAATGGCGTCCCTTTGAAGATTATGTCCTTCGCTGTTACAAAGCGCCTGGATCACGGATTGAAAACGAAATCATTCTCAAGCACACTGATATGCAATCAACATATATTTGTGTTTTACTTACTAAACTACGTTATTTCTGAACATCACTTAGAAGGCGTTATTGTGGGTGTGGATCTGAGAAAAAACATTCTGAGATCATTAGCACATTTTATCAAAATATGTATGATGTAACAGATGGGAATTAACATATTCTCTGTTGTGGGTCTCTACAAAAAGTGGAAATGGGAGACGTAGAAAAGTGAATGTGCTCTCAATTGAAACAACAGATTGAACAGTTGCGACGGTGTCAGGTAGCAATTACAACGGTTTGTCGTACACAGACTCGGAACCGAGTTAATCTCAACGAAATCAACAGCTGTAAAAGCGAAAAAACATTTCCGTCCTGTAACATGCTAATAGCTTATGAGCAATATATGTTTACTCGTTAACCACACCCTATTTTTCAAAGATTTTCTTTTTTAAAATCCCACCGTCAACCTCTTCCAAGAATCTTCGAAATGCATTAACGAACCCACCCTGGTCCGAACGTACACTTTTTTAATGGTGTAATTTGTCCGAAAATGTCATTTAGGGCTGCCAAAAACTGTACGCAGTGACTGAGCGAAGTCGCACCCAGCAAGTAGCACCAGTTATGTAATAAACGCTTTTGAAATGATCTCTTAATTCAACAAATTGGATAATTTTTCAGTGCAAAGAAATTTGACATCCCGAGAGCACCCACTCACCCTACCACCACGTGTGTGAAAATAAATGGCTCGTGGTAAGTTTTGAAGATATTCTTATTTCTATTGCAAATGGACCGGTTTAAGTATTATTTATTACACATCAAAGGAATTAGCATGCATAGATTAAATTCGATTATCAATGTAGAATATGTAACCTGAATTATATTCTGGGTTTGTTTTGTAAACCATTTTATCATCCAACAGGGATGTTCGGTGTTAAAGAATATCATAGTTTAGATCTTTCCCGAATCTGTCTGAATGAATCAATAAAATACAGGCCTAAAGACACTGGGACTTGTACATTACACAACGCTCACAAGTTCAAACTTTGATGTCTTCTTTAGTGTCTGTTTTAACCATCCTCGATTATCCAGTGTATGTTATCTCTCTTCCATTTCGTTAAATACCCCATGTCAATCGCTACCTTAAGGGGCATTCACACGGTACAACTAGTTGTACCGTGTGAATGCCCCTTTAGCCTCGCTTACAAATTCGAATGACACAACGGGACACAATCAACATAAAAATGTACAAAAAATGCAACCAGCCGGCTAATGGGGACTAGATAACTAACGCTTAGGACAACAATAGTGTCCGCGACACAGGTGGTAGCGTGGTGGACTACAAATCAAGAGGTTGCAGGTTCGTATCCCGCCGAGGTTTAAACAACTATTGGTTCATAAATGTGTCATTGCTGTACATCTTCCCGAGGTAAGTGAGTTAACTGACTATAAAAGTCCAGTTTCCACCCTTGCCGAACTAGGCTGGTATTATGGAGTTATATTTTGACTGGCCTAACGATAGTCCAATCAAAATCGCGCAAACAAATCGAAATCCGGTTCGTAAACTGTCGTGCAGATTTCAGTCGATTGCAGGATTTGCAAAACATGTGCACCGCCAACTCGTAGTAAACAGATATTTTCCACATCTTTTCATGTTTTTGTATCAAGTTGCTCACGTGATTTGATGCATTTCGCGATAAAAGACCCGTTTTATCACAATATAGATCTTGATTATCGATCAGACCGTCCTGACTGGGCGCCGCCATTTTGTTTGAAGCAAATGCAAGTAATGCGAAGGTGGAATCTGATTGGTCCATAGGAGAGGCTTAGAAGGGATATAACTCGTAATAGCCACTGTTAGCCTACGATCGAGCCCAGGAATTCCAGCCTAGTTCGGCAAGTGTTGGAACTGGACTTTCAAAGTCAGTTAACTCTCTCAGCTGACAATGAAAGTATATATGATTACTACGATAGATCCTTAACTTATCTAATACGGGTTTTTCCCACACATTTAGACCCTAAACACGTTTAGCCGATAAGCACAATCCTGAACATGTTTAGACCCTTGCCACGTCAAAAGTATAGGGCAATTAGTTTTTCATTGTATGGTGGTACCGACTACAGCAGAAGTGTGAGGTTTCAAAGTTACAGAAGGTCTCTTGTTTCACTTAAAAATAGAATTCATGTCTATATCATGTATGTCCTAGAGTTGTCATAGTGAAGACAGAACTGAGCAAAGCTCCATCGCAGCGCGTGGCACATTCGTTGCGTTCTGCTTTAATGACGTATAGCTGTGCGGAGCTGGTGGTATTCTGTGTGAATGCTGGTGCGCATAAATGAAATTGGTGTATGTTGGCGTTTAAATTAAAAGTCGCAAGAATGTATTCCAAAATCATTGAGTGTGGATACGAAATATTTTAAATAAGACAATTAAAAGGGAATATTATGTGCCCAAGTGCAAATCTAGCCCTGCACCTTAAACGTTACATCGTCTAGGATAGGATAAGTAAGCGTGTATCATATCAGTTAATTAATGAACACAGTATAAACTATTTCTGAAGCAATATCAAACACATTCTATGAATGGCATGTTAGCGAAAGAGTGTAAATCCTAAAATTAGACCTCGTTCTATACGCCTTGTTACATATTGTAAGTATTTCATTCCGCACACGTGTAACAACGATGTCTGTTGTCCAGATGCCTATTTGCTCCATTACGACACAACGTTCTATTCAGGGAGCACACGATACAGTCTTGTAGCAAGACGACACAACGTTCTATTCAGGGAGCACACGATACAGTCTTGTAGCAAGACGACACAACGTTCTATTCAGGGAGCACACGATACAGTCTTGTAGCAAGACGACACAGCGTTCTATTCAGGGAGCACACGATACAGTCTTGTAGCAAGACGACACAGCGTTCTATTCAGGGAGCATACGATACAGTCTTGTAGCAAGACGACACAACGTTCTATTCAGGGAGCACACGATACAGTCTTGTAGCAAGACGACACAACGTTCTATTCAGGGAGCACACGATACAGTCTTGTAGCAAGACGTCACAACGTAGCCGTCGTACTTACGATATTCCTTTCGTAAGGTCAGTGATCAATTGCCATAATTTATAACGCATTTCATAAGCAGACAAGAAACTTGTTGTATGGAGGTGAAATACAGAGATGTTTCTATCATGAGTGCTTGTCGTGCGTAGGACTTCACTTCAGTGAAAAATAAAAGTAAAAGCGAAATTATTTCCCAAATACTCTTCATGTATGTGTAGCATTTAAGTGACTGTCACCTGGTCATCGTATGATGACATGCAACTCAAGATTTTATTCAATCGGTAGAAAAATAAACAAACAAACAAACGGACTTGTAATTGTTCAGTTACCTGGTTAGTATGGATGTTTATGCTTGAAAATAATATTTTGTTGTCAGCTTGAAAAACAAATCTGTACCTGGACATGCTGGACATAATGTTTTGTGAAGCCACAATGAGGATTGGATCATCACGCAGAGAAACAAAGGCATGCCTGTAATCGCTGACTGAAAAACACTTCTGTATTAAACAAAAACAAAACTTGCAGCCCCTCTTCCTACGCTGGTACTTACTGAGTGTGAGGAACTTGAAAATGCCTTTGAGTATGTCCATGGGTTCGTCGGCGTAGTCCTCGAGTCTGACGATGTGGAGTTGATGTCGAGGGAACACACGCAGCCACTCCTGTAAGTACACATAGTACATCCCGATCCGGAGCCGCACCTGTAAACAACGAGGGGACAACAAGCGTATGAATACATGCAGCCGTATGAACAATAAACGTATACATACTTTAGCCGTATGAAAAATGGATGTGTGATAACATGTGAGCGATGAACCCGAGATTACCTAGTCGTGTGAACAGTTAATCAACGCATGAATACGTACATTTGTAGGAATACGTACAGACGTATGAACAATATTCCTTTAAATATGCACAGTTGTATAAACAATTCACGTATAAAGACTAGAATGAGGATCGGATGGTACGGCGATATGGATGAAATGGGGATTGGGTGGCACGGCGATTTGGTTAAAATGAGGATAGGATGGTACGGCGATGTGACTAGAATGAGGATCGGATGGTAGGGCGAAGAGAATAAAATGAGGATAGGATGGTACGGCGATGTGACTAGAATGGGGATCGGCTGTCACGGCGATGAGACTAAAATGAGGATCGGGTGGTAGGGCGATTGGCATTGGTTGGTACGGCGATTTGGTATATGTGTGTGTGTGTGTGTGTGCGCGCTACCAAAGTGCCACAATTAGGCTTTCGTAGTATGTTAATCAAAGCAGCATTAGCATGAATCTCTGCTGGCATCCCATTAACTGGTACTAACAGTTTTAACTTCGTTATGTCGAACTTAGTTATATTCACGAATTAAAGACGATTGTACATTTGTCTACACAGTTGCAGTGTCTTAGCACATGTCAACACCTCCAGAAATATGTCACATAACGGTCAATGAAATAGCCAGAAATCGCAAAACAATTTGCAGAATGTTCCCCTTTCCGTGGAATCACCATTTGTTTAGCGAAAAAACACATGCGAATTCTCCCTTTTCCACGGATTTGCCATTCTTTGCAGAAACTTCGTAGCTCTCCATTTTCCGTGGAATTTCACAACCTTGTGGCAAACACCGAAGAATTCTCCCCCTATCCGTGGAATTACTACTCATAAACAGAATTCTCCCTACATACGTGGAATCACTACTCCTAAACAGAATTCTCCTCCCATCCGTAGAATTACTACTCCTAAACAGAATTCTCCCTACATCCGTGGAATTACTACTCCCAAACAGAATTCTCCCTACATCCGTGAAATTACTACTCCCAAACAGAATTCTCCCTACATCCGTGGAATCACTACTCCCAAACAGAATTCTCCTCCCATCCGTAGAATTACTACTCCTAAACAGAATTCTCCCTACATCCGTAGAATTACTACTCCCAAACAGAATTCTCCCTACATACGTGGAATAACTACTCCCAAACAGAATTCTCCCTACATCCGTGGAATTACTACTCCTAAACAGAATTCTCCCTACATCCGTGGAATGACTACTCCCAAACAGAATTCTCCCTACATCCGTGGAATTACTACTCCTAAACAGAATTCTCCCTACATCCGTGGAATGACTACTCCCAAACAGAATTCTCCCTACATCCGTGGAATTACTACTCCTAAACAGAATTCTCCCTACATCCGTGGAATTACTACTCCTAAACAGAATTTTCCCCCTATCCGTGGAATGACTACTCCCAAACAGAATTCTCCCTACATCCGTGGAATTACTACTCCTAAACAGAATTCTCCCTACATCCGTGGAATTACTACTCCTAAACAGAATTCTCCCCCTATCAGTGGAATGACTACCTACTCCCTTTCGGTATAAAAATTGAACTTATAAGTTCAAATGTTGATACATTTTACTAAAACAGAGAATACAATGGTACTAGTTTGCAGTTTCAGATTCATAATAACACAGTGTGAAATAAAATCCTACGTTCATACAGCAAGCGGTCCGTACAATGTGAGTATAGTAAAACTGCCAATACACTATCACATGCTAGACAGACCATCTTTCAACGGAGCCGTTTTGGTCTTACAATGAGTGAAAAAACACGAGCCCAGAGACGTTATTAAGTGGGACAAAAATCTGAGAAAGGAATTTGAAGAATTTTGAAGAGGAATACTTCAGACTGGGTAAGTATCCAGAAACTGTTCTAGGAACACCGGCGTTCGTAAATAAGCAAAGAAAAGTTAACCTTTTGGGTAACACCCGTACGACAGTGACTCAAGGACACCCTGACATAAAACAGAGACATATTAAATTAATATTATTAATATAATATGTTGGTACTTTCAGATATTAGAACGAAAACATAGTGTCTGGTTAAGTTACAGCTCGCGAACATGTTGTTTATAACTGTTATAATAAAAATTAAAGCTGGGTTCAAGTTTACTTTCCAAACTCCAAAAGAATTATGTCAACCGAGTAATGTCACAGTGGATCCTGTAAGCCCGGAAGCCCACCATTCGGACGATCACCGAACGTCTGTATCCTGGTACATACAAAGGGGCATAATTAGGCATGATTCGTTAATCCGGAAAGTACGAGGTAGGACACGGGCCCTTCTCATGCATACGTTATTTCCATAATGTAAGAATTAAACAAATCTGTTAGAAATTGTAAATAAGACTAAGAAATAGACTTAAGAAGCGTTTTTCTTCTATTTGAACATCAGCAAGTCTTTGATCGTCGGATACTCAGTTTCTGTTTCGTCGGATAATCGAGACTGGTTATTCTCTGGCGTTATATTCATTTGGTAAATGTCGCGGCTCACGGACTTGCGCATACTCATCTCTTGGAGGTTTGAAAAATAGAAATAGACTTAAGAAGCGTTTTTAGGGACTAGAAAAATCGCCGACCCTTTTCACTCGTTTTTGCCATAGTTATATATTTTACTTATGTAAGAAAGACAAAAGGCTAGTTTTCTTGCCACTTGAACCTGCATGAAGGTTGGAGGACCTTTATCCTGCTTCATCCCTCATCAATGTGAGTTTGGGAGGAACAGTACGACTAAAGGGGCGTCACTGTGTAACCAGTTGCTGCTTGCCCTACTGTCAAGTCGGTGCAGAAAATGTCTTACAAACAGGCAGTTGTTTCTTTTGGAAATACTACGGATCCACGGATAACAGCGCAATATCTGCAGATCGTCCGTACGGATGTCTGGCACGTATAGAGTCTCGTTGTGATAATATTCGCGAGGTCTGAGGTCACAGTTACATTGGTAAAAGAAACCACAGAAGACATCGAACTCCTTGAACCCCAAGAAGGAACAGCACTTTATTGGAGTTCTACGTCGAAATTTCACAAATCCAGCTTCGCGTCAACTTTCTGACAACAGGGATATTAACAAGCGCTATAAAGCAAGTTCGATTGAAGTCATTTGAAACCCATTTTTGTCCGCTAACTCAAAGTTCATGTTGTGTACTAATTTCGCAGTTAATGGCTACCCAAATAGACACGGTGGCTCACAAATCTAACAAATGGAAGTTCGTCTAGACAAAGACTGAAACTAGGAACCACACCTCGAAAATCCCCATTTCATATTAATTACATATTACAATTACATATGCGATGTTCCGTGATATGTTAATTTTGAATAACGTCTGCGGCACACCCAAGGCCAGAGATGATGATGCTAACAAATAAAGAGACAGACTTGGTTTGAGAAACATGGGTATTTTTCTGTGCGCGCCCGCGCCTTGAAATTATTGCAAGATGGGTTTTTTTGTTAAATTATCCTTCCAGATGAAACAGAAAATTGCACAGAGATGGTTTTTTTTTCATTTTCCGAAATCTAAATTTGCCACAGTATGATAGATGTGCTTGTTTGTTTCGTATATGTTTGTTTCTTGATCTGCATGAAAGATTAATAAGGTTGGAAATTCAAAAGATGTCTGATCAAGAAATAAATGACTCCTCCCTCAAGCATTCCGAAGAAACAGTGCTAACAGGAGGGCAACTATTGCAACCTCTCAACTAAAATTTGTAGGTGAGATCACACATTACAGTGCGAGAGTGAGTTGGGTTTAACGCCGCTTTTAACAGTATTCCAGTTATATCGCGGCGTGTCAGCTTAATGTGGGAGGAAAGCCCGAAGTAATGCAGGTCTCAGACGTTTACTACTTAGGTGAAACCAATGTGTACGGGTATGGTGCTGACAAACCTAGAAACATAATCGGGGCGAACCGGGATTCGAACCCAAAATCATAGGTTTCTTGCGTGTCCAAGGGACGCAACTCTGCACAGCGAATCGCGGCGCCTCGGACGGCTGGGCCACCCGTTCCCCTTCACACATTACAAGGAACAGACAAATCTGAGAAGGAATTGAACCACGGGCACGGGTGCAGCACCAGCTGTTTGAGGTCTGGATACACTACTTGGCGCCTACCCCCGCGGGTGCAGCACCAGCTGTTTGAGGTTTGGATACACTACTTGGCGCCTACCCCCGCGGGTGCAGCACCAGCTATTTGAGGTTTGGATACACTACTTGGCGCCTACCCCCGCGGGTGCAGCACCAGCTATTTGAGGTTTGGATACACTACTTGGCGCCTACCCCCGCGGGTGCAGCACCAGCTATTTGAGGTTTGGATACACTACTTGGCGCCTACCCCCGCGGGTGCAGCACCAGCTGTTTGAGGTTTGGATACACTACTTGGCGCCTACCCCCGCGTGTGCAGCACCAGCTGTTTGAGGTCTGGATACACTACTTGGCGCCTACCCCCGCGGGTGCAGCACCAGCTATTTGAGGTTTGGATACACTACTTGGCGCCTACCCCCGCGGGTGCAGCACCAGCTGTTTGAGGTCTGGATACACTACTTGGCGCCTACCCCCGCAGGTGCAGCAACAGCTGTTTGAGGTTTGGATACACTACTTGGCGCCTACCCCCGCGGGTGCAGTACCAGCTATTTGAGGTTTGGATACACTACTTGGCGCCTACCCCCGCAGGTGCAGCGCCAGCTATTTGAGGTTTGGATACACTACTTGGCGCCTACCCCCGCGGGTGCAGCACCAGCTATTTGAGGTTTGGATACACTACTTGGCGCCTACCCCCGCGGGTGCAGCACCAGCTGTTTGAGGTCTGGATACACTACTTGGCGCCTACCCCCGCAGGTGCAGCAACAGCTGTTTGAGGTTTGGATACACTACTTGGCGCCTACCCCCGCGGGTGCAGTACCAGCTATTTGAGGTTTGGATACACTACTTGGCGCCTACCCCCGCAGGTGCAGCGCCAGCTATTTGAGGTTTGGATACACTACTTGGCGCCTACCCCCGCGGGTGCAGCGCCAGCTATTTGAGGTTTGGATACACTACTTGGCGCCTACCCCCGCGGGTGCAGCACCAGCTGTTTGAGGTTTGGATACACTACTTGGCGCCTACCCCCGCGGGTGCAGCACCAGCTGTTTGAGGTTTGGATACACTACTTGGCGCCTACCCCCGCGGGTGCAGCACCAGCTGTTTGAGGTTTGGATTCACTACTTGGCGCCTACCCCCGCGGGTGCAGCACCAGCTGTTTGAGGTTTGGATTCACTACTTGGCGCCTACCCCCGCGGGTGGGATAACAGGAACTCACCCTGGCTGTGTTGGCGATCGTCCTGTTATTGATACACGACCGTATTGTTGTTTTATTGACGCATCGTTCATGGGAGCTGATGGCCATTAATACTTCTCGATGAAAGTCGTCCGGTGACTTCCGATGTTTTTGGAAATAGAGGTAATCCGAATATAATCTGGAACAAATAAGAACTGATAAACGTATTGTACAATCGGAGCCTACAGCAATGATAGTTAATGGTTGCCAGACAATAAGATGATATCTAAGTATTTGTGATAATTCGCCATTACTGACCACTTGGAAAATAATGGCCCAGTCGTTTAAGGCGCCGCAATTCTTTGTCCAGGATTGCGTCCCACATAAGTACCAGCATCAGCTTATCGCAGGTTCTAATTGAAGATTATTATTATGATCCTTGAATTGTCAGCATGACACACGTGCTCGTGGGCTTTGCACCAAAGTATTAAAAACTGAGATTTAACTTAAATACTGATTAATGGGGCGTTAAACCATCTCACACACCACTAGCAACAAAATAAGACAAGAGTGAAGCGGTTTGAGGCTCAGCTATTTGTTTGGGGAACTACGTCCCTTATCCAGGATCTGCTGAAACCCCAATAGATCTGATTATTACCTTGGTCAGTCCACTGTAACAATATGGTTCACCAAGGTGCTAAACGTCTGAGGCATCGGGACTTAGGCTAACCATCGTGAAATTACAAAAGTCACCGAAAACGTCGAATATAACGGTCTTGGATTTCTTCTATCTCTCAACACTTCAACCCTAACTAAATGCTCTACAATGCGTTCCTTCCTGGAACAGAGATATATTATTCGGCTGTCCCAAACTCTTAGTTTCCGGACACAGCGAGTTATGTAATGTCATACAGTGTTTCTAATATACCCAAAGCAATGCCCGAAGGAAATCACAAAAACCCGGACCATTAAGTTGAAACGTTATCCGATCTCTCGCGCGTACTGCACTGCAACATAAAATGTGAACGATTAACGTGCAAACAACCAACGTTTTCTTCCGATGCGAAGAATTTCGAAACGAGACTCCGCGCAACTCCCCCACCTCTTCTATAAAGGAATGGCGTCTGGTTTTGATTCTGAAGTCATCTCAGTCACACTGAGCGGTTCTGGCACAAATGGTGTAAGGTTTGGTCTTGCATCGTGTCTGGCTCTACTGGTTTGATTATAGACATAAGACATGCCTACTAGATGAGTCTGGGTTGGAAAACTGTCTTAAATGTTTACCCCGATAAATAGCTATGAAAGTGGCTGTCGCGTTGAACAAATCATTTTTCCCTGGAAGAGGAAACTCGATACCAATGTTAACTATTCGAAAGCTGTAATCAAATTAAGATGACTACAGATTGTGATGTGGATGGCGACATGTGCACGCACTAGACATCAGATTGTAAAAGAGTTTCAGATATTATTCTGGCTTCCTATGTTATTTATTTAATCCATCGCTTTGTTGGAATGGATATCCTATGGCTTCGTTAATGCCAAAGTCTGTTCATATATGTATATGCCTCCCTTACCTGTACGTCAACATAAAGTTTACCCGTCTGTCGTATGTATTTAAATATCATGCCTGTACATCTAATGCATGAATATCTTTACCTGTATATTGTTATGGCTGAACACCCTATGCATCAATGTGTAACCCAGTGTATGTATATACTATATATGGAATGGAATACCATGATGGTTGGTTGGCTGTTTTACGCCGCACTCGGCCATATTCCAGCTACATGACGTCGGTCTGTAAATAATCGAGTCTGGACCAGACAATCCAGTGGTTGATATCATGAGCATCGATCTACGCAATTTGGATCGATCACATGCATCAACCAAGTCAGCGAGCCTGACCACCCGATCCCGTTAGTCGCCTTTTACGACAAGCATAGTCGCCTTTTACGGCAAGCATGGGTTGCTGAAGACCTATTCTACCCCGAATCTTCACGGGTCTCTGGAATGAAATATATATAGTACGACCTCTAGTAAGAGCATATCTTCAGCTGTTACGCGTGGATGTTACTGAGTGAAGTTCGCATATAACGATCTGATTATAAAAAAAAAACCATTGGAGTTCGTCATATCCGGAGCTGGCTGTATATAAACAGAACCATGGTCAACTTCGCCATGAACACTGGGTGCACGTGTCTGGAGTCATTGTCCCTCGTCAGTCAGGTCTGACAACAGAACTTGCACCTTACACAAACACAATGCACATTGGATGGTAAATGGGGTTTCGGATATCCTCCTGCCTTCCTGTGCCATTTAGTCAACCATTGCTATGTCGGTATGCATATCACATGGCTGAGTGCCTATCCTGGGGCCATTGCTCACCTCTCAGTCGGGTCCCTCAGTATAATAATGATCTTGGCCTTGGGTATAAGGTAGCGGATGTAGTGGGCGTTCGTGTACTTGGGTTCCGTGAAGCCACAGTTCTCTGGCAGCTGCCACCAGTAGTCATTGAACCACAGCGTGGACACACTGGCATCACCTGAAGACATGGGGAGAGGTTAACTAGCGATCACTGTAACCACTGATTCACCAACCATCCAGTTCGGGGTTCATTGGATTGCTGGTTTAGTAGAAGAGAATTATCTCCGAAATCATGTAAAAGTATATTCTGTGTAAATGACAGCAAAGGTAAACATACTGCAGTCAGAAGTGAAGCCGAACTGCATTAGGCAGCTCGAGTATGAATCAAACGTTCCCGAAAATAGAACTTCAACAGACAGTTCATCAGCGTCTAAAAAGGTTCCGATGGAGTTTATTTACCTGTTATCAGCTGGTGTTCATTTACCTGTAACCAGCTGGTGGTCATTTACCTGTACTCAGCTGGTGTTCATTTACCTGTACTCAGCTGGTGGTCATTTACCTGTACTCAGTTGGTGGTCATTTACCTGTACCCAGCTGGTGGTCATTTACCTGTTACCAGCTGGTGTTCATTTACCTGTACCCAGCTGGTGTTCATTTACCTGTACCCAGCTGGTGGTCATTTACCTGTACCCAGCTGGTGGTCATCTACGTGTTATCAGCTGAGGTTCATTTACCTGTACCAAGCTGGTGTTCATTTACCTGTACTCAGTTGGTGTTCATTTACCTGTACCCAGCTGGTGTTCATTTACCTGTACCATGCTGGTGTTCATTTACCTGTACTCAGTTGGTGGTCATCTACCTGTTATCAGCTGAGGTTCATTTACCTGTAATCATCTGGTGGCCATATTCGTATTATCAGGTGTTCATTTACCTGCAGTCAGTTGGTGGTCATTTACCTGTACTCAGTTGGTGGTCATCTACGTGTTATCAGCTGAGGTTCATTCACCTGTAATCAACTGATGGCCATATTCGTATTATCAGGTGTTCATTTACCTGTAACCAGCAGGTGTTCATTTACCTGTAATCAGCTGGTGGTACCCCTCCTGTTCCTCTGATGTGTTGGGGTCATTGACGTGCTCCATGAACAACGCCGCCTTGTCGTACAGGTCGATGTAGTCATTGATTGGAACTTTTGACGTGAAATTGAGTCGCCACCCTGAGGACATATGTAACACGACGACAATTAACACTTTGTTGGCATTTCACAAACACAAAGCTACCACATATCAACAATATCTGCACCAGATGTATACTTGTGTTTTCATAGAGTAAAGTCTACAAACAATAGAAGACTGCGGTTTGAATCATGTCGCACCATCTTGTTAACTAGGGGTATAGGGACTATTGAAACTTGAAAGCATCGCAACTGTCTATAGCCGGGGGCACTGCACCGATGTAAATAATATCGTAATAATGATCACCATTTATCTCTGCATTCGCTTTGTGAAAATCCGACAAGACACGTGGGTATCCATTCAGAAACGCTTAAACATGTATTTCAGTCCATATACCTCCTAACCTCATAACTTTCAAAACAAATCGGACTAATCTTGGACTTTGCGGATGTGATGTGCTTTGTTGTGATGTCAAATTAGCCCAGGAAATCTGGAATTATTAAGGATTGCAGTAGTATGATATATACAGTGTTAGGACAGTAATGGTCCTCATCCTTGCCTTATGAGTCATATCACGACACTGAGGTCGCGATGACCTGCAACTAATCTGTCTCACATTCCCTGAATCATATTCTTTCCCTTCCGCCAAGCCCTCACTGTAAAGCGATAGCCCTAAATGAAGCAAGTCTGGATTTTCCCCAGGTTGAGGTTCTGAATCTACCATCTTACTGGGGCTCCTTTCCAATTACACGTAGTTGCTTTTTCTATCAAAACTATATATTTTCGGAGACTACACGAGTTAGTCAACCATACCATACGATACAACTCGACACTTGCTTGTTATGGAAACGTTTCCAGCTCAAAGGGAACAATAGTTGCCTTACTAAAGCGTATGGAGTAGATTTGAGGTAATTCTACCTGTCATCCTTATCTATACTTGAATCAGTCGTATTAAAACAGATCTGAGAGACAACTCATTGAGGGTAACGTCAGACCGACCTTTCGCAAACTTTGACTGATCAATGGAATGAATAACAAGAAGATGACATTAGCCAATCAGAAGGCAGCGTTTTCGTGCTTAACGGCACTAGTTTCAAACTGGCGACCAAGCTTCGAACATGTCTTGATAATACTTGATTAAAAATTTGAAAACTGAACAAAAAAACATTCTTGAATGGCTAATGTTATAAAGCCCGTAACTGTCGTTCGGAATAGCCCGTGTTAAATTTCTCGAGGTTGCATGATTCCAACTGTCACTTTCATGATCTGGTAAGCGACGCTCTGATTGGTCGGATGAAAGGTTGTTCTGACGTGACCCGTAATGGGGTGTCCTCAGATCTTTGATCAGAGGTAGCGAGAACTAGGCTTTGATTGACCTTGAATCGTTTTGTATCGATACATGACGTCACGAAACGACACGATACTCCAGTGGTGTTACAGAGTATCACGATGCACGTTCAGTGAATAGTTACACACGCCTGCAACACCGGGGCCTTTTTTCCCGGAATACCCACAAGGTGACAAACACGAAGTATTGGGCATAAATTCTAACCCTGTATCCCGGAACACAAGGGGGCACAATTCAAGCATAGGATACTAACCTCTTCTAACCCGACCCCCAAGGGGAAACTATTCTCAGACCCCAAGGGGAGACTACTCAAAATATGTATATTGGACCCCATACCGCTCTCGGAATAATATTCAAATAATGATCAAATGATGACGCCTACCAAATCTATTTTTGGCCCACCAGTGAGACTCCTTCATAGGAGGAGAAACGACGTCCGGGTGTGACATCAGCTTAAAGTACAGGTCCGTGCTCCCACACTTCGGTTGCCCGGCAATAAAAAAGTACGGCAGACAACGCAGTCTCCGAGGCTGGGCATCTTGTTCCATTTTCTTTCGCCATTCCTCAGTTAAATCTTTGAATAAGTTCCGGCAATACTTTGAAAAATGTTTGAAATGGTTAGTGTTATACACATCTGGTCTAACCATCGGTTCATACCAACATGGATTCTTAAAATTTGGAAGAAAGTTGAAGGGTGCCTGAAAAAAAACAAGTTAACGGGCATTAGCAATAAATAAAAAAAAAGTTTCGCAAAGCTTGCATCCAAATTAACATGCAATCATATTCACTGTAACACATGTCAAACCTGTGAGTATAGTTTTACGCCGCTTTTAGCCCTATCACGGCTTCACACATTGTGCCGACATGGAGAATCGGACATGACGAGCAAAAGTTTAAACCACTACGCTGCCACCGCCATGTCAAAACAATGCGAGTGAGTAAATGAATGTTTTGATGGTGTAAGCAATATCCCAACAATACCACAGTATCGCTAAGTAGTCGAATCTGCGACGGCAGATGACACAATCAAGACACTGGAGACCTACTCTAAGCCTGTAGGGGCACACAGTTTGAGTTACTGTGTAATATCAGATGTCTTGAAACAATGTGACCTGTTATAGCTGTTTTACGCTGCAGTGTCGAGTGTCGACATGTCTTTAATAAAGTAATACATAACTCGTGGCTGGCATATTGCCTATAAGGTGTACATGTTTAATATCACTCACCACAGCTGAAATTAAACATCACTTTTACACACCAACCATTGCTTTTCTTATTAAACACATAAAAGATTACATTAGTGCAAGCCTAAGAATAAGGCCCCGGTAACCTACGCTGGGGGTAAGAGGAGGTCAGGCTCGGTGATTTGGTTGATCGCATCCCAATGGCGTGGATCGATGTTTATGATGTCACACACCGGATTGACAAGTCAAGACTCCATTAACTGTGGCTGGACTATTGTTGGGTGCGGCGTTAGAAACAAACAAATAAAATACTTCAAGTCGCACTTACCATGCTAAGAATTTCCGACGTTTTATTCACATCTACACAATTCAAGCGGGCCCGGCCCTCCAGACTAATCCCAGGGACCGTGGGTCCAACAGGCTTAATGTCGCTACCGTTCTTCTTCCACCGGAGCTCTAGAACCCCTTTCGGGGAGTACCCCATTATTGAGTCTAATCGTATATGATCTCCATTTTTATTAACAAACCCCACAATCTGCATGGAACTTTCGTCTGTTCCATTTCCACTGTGAGCAGACTGCACGCCGCCGAGCTGAAAATGTCTTACAAAATGGCCGTTGTTGATCTTGTATGACGTCACGTATGCCAGGATGACGATGGAGATGATGCTGGCAGCGAGACAGACTGCGTAGATGCATCGCGCGTCTCTCTTGGGGGCTGTTGGGGGTAGTTTGTGGTATGGTCGTTCCGTAATAGTTTGCCACCCTAGAACCATGGTCAGCTGACGATAACAACCACCGGCACTGCGCACACAACATCCGAAAAATCGTCTAGCACCCTGCAACAAAAAAACAACATTTATTCAATTGTTTGATAGGCATTGTTAGAAGTAACAAAACCATTTTGTGGATAACAACTTGTATACGTCCCCATTACATCATAATAAAGAACTTGTTATCCATGAGCATTCGTTTGTCTACTGAACATGTATTCATATAGTGTTCCAAGCAATCGTCTAGCACCCTTTAACAACAAAACAACATTTTCTTCACATAATGCTATATACAAACTGATCAACATGTCAGAAAACGTTTATATTATTTCTACTTTATTTTAACCTGAATTTTTTAACCCTTACGAATTTATTCGAATTCTTATATTTGGTATGCAGGGAATTGTGTCTTTCGAGAGAGCACGTGTCCTTTGTGCTTAAAGGAACCAAGACAAATAACTTTTTATCCTGTTTTTTTTTTTCTACGGCCAAAAAACACACCATAAAGAAACACTTGTGAAAACATGAAATGTATGCACGTGTGAAATAAGATAGGTTAACAGAACTTAGGTAGAACAGCAACAACCGAATCTACTGCATTTATAGTGTCTTTACCGGTAGCGTTGATATTTTAACACTTTGGTTGCACAAAAGATAGACAAAGCAAATGAAACTTATCCAAAGAAAACATACTTTGGTGGAAAACAACAACAGAAAAACAACATATCTACGCAACTTGATGTAAAAACTGACCCAACTTGGAAAGAGCGTGCGCGTGATTATTGCTAAACGCCACATCAGCAATCTTGAAGCTATTCGCGGCGAACTTCGAAAAGAAGTGTTTGGGATATATGCATCTCTGTGGCTAGGTTGGAAGGGGGGTGAGAGAAACGAGATATTCTCTTGTCACCGTTTGCATCTACAAAGCAACTTGGTTTTAAGGCGAAAATGCATTGCATATCCTATGTTCGAGACAAGCGTAGTGCGTTATATAAACATTCTGACTGGACCGCCAAGATATATCGTCTTGTTACGTCGAATTAACCAGTTTTCGATGCCTGTAACAATGCTATGTTAATATTAGTCCGGACATTTTGAAACTGCACGACCGTTAGTAAGGTCAAGCATTCGTGGGAACATTGGTTAATCTACAAAACAGTTATTCATGGGATGCTAGTTTGTTGTGTCTGAAACATTATTCAGGGCTCCATTTGGGCTTTATTTTTCTATTTTGTAGACATGTATTTGTAAATAATATTTCTGGGACTAAGTGTTAGTCTAGGACAATAGTTAGTTTGTATCACCTATATTTCGGAGTGAGTGAGTGAGTATGGTTTAACGCCGCTTTTAGCAATATTCCAGCAATATCACGACGGGGGACACCAGAAATGGGCTACACACATTGTACCCATATCGAGAATCGAACCCGGGTCTTCGGCGAACGCTTTAACCACTAGGATACCCGACTGCCCCCATATATTTCGGAAAGTCATTCATCCAGACAGTATTTACTTTTGATGACTAATATCAAGGACGTGGGATAATCTGGATACTCTGGATAATCGCTGTTTCAGTCATCCATTCGTTCATCCGTTAAACTTGACAATCAGATCGTCCATGAGGCCGACTTTAAATGAAGTAAGTGGGAGAGGGGGGTATATTTTTGTTTGGCTACAACCGTCAACAGGCATAGTAACCAATGAACTGCCTGCCAGGAAATATGGTTCTGCTTAATGGTAATGGCCCACTTCCCGGATATTGGTCAAAAGGCTACATCAAATATGACATTAACTGATGTGAACAAGCCCCTGTTTACATGCGGCCTGACAGTAATTAGATTAGTGCTGGTGAATTTCCATGTTGCCATAATTCTCACCATGGAAATACTGTGCTAGTGGATGATATGGGTACTGTGCTAGGGGATGACGTGGGTACTGTGCTAGCGGGTGACGTGGATACTGTGCTAGGGGTGACGTGGATACTGTGCTAGGGGTGACGTGGGTACTGTGCTAGCGGGTGACGTGGGTACTGTGCTAGCGGGTGACGTGGATACTGTGCTAGCGGGTGACGTGGATACTGTGCTAGGGGTGACGTGGGTACTGTGCTAGCGGGTGACGTGGGTACTGTGCTAGCGGGTGATATGGGTACTGTGCTAGCGGGTGATATGGGTACTGTGCTAGCGGGTGATATGGGTACTGTGCTAGCGGATGATGTGGGTACTGTGCTAGTGGATGACGTGGGTACTGTCCTAGTGGATGACGTGGGTACTGTGCTAGTGGATGACGTGGGTACTGTGTTAGTGGATGACGTGGATACTGTGCTAGGGGTGACGTGGGTACTGTGCTAGCGGGTGACGTGGGTACTGTGCTAGCGGGAGACGTGGGTACTGTGCTAGCGGGTGATATGGGTACTGTGCTAGCGGGTGATATGGGTACTGTGCTAGCGGGTGATATGGGTACTGTGCTAGCGGATGATGTGGGTACTGTGCTAGTTGATGACGTGGGTACTGTGCTAGTTGATGACGTGGGTACTGTGCTAGTTGATGACGTGGGTACTGTGCTAGTGGATGACGTGGGTACTGTGCTAGGGGTTGATGTGGGTACTGTGCTAGGGGATGACGTGGGTACTGTGCTAGTGGATGACGTGGGTACTGTGCTAGTGGATGACGTGGGTACTGTGCTAGGGGGTGATGTGGGTACTGTGCTAGTTGATGACGTGGGTACTGTGCTAGGGGGTGATGTGGGTACTATGCTAGTGGATGACTTGGGTACTGTGCTAGTGGATGACGTGGATACTGTGCTAGTGGATGACGTGGGTACTGTGCTAGTGGATGACTTGGGTACTGTGCTAGTGGATGACGTGGGTACTGTGCTAGCGGGTGATGTGGGTACTGTGCTAGCGGGTGATGTGGGTACTGTGCTAGGGGGTGATGTGGGTACTGTGCTAGTGGATGACGTGGGTACTGTGCTAGGGGGTGATGTGGGTACTGTGCTAGTGGATGACGTGGGTACTGTGCTAGTGGATGACGTGGGTACTGTGCTAGGGGGTGATGTGGGTACTGTGCTAGGAGGTGATGTGGGTACTGTGCTAGTGGATGACGTGGGTACTGTGCTAGTGGATGACGTGGGTACTGTGCTAGGGGGTGATGTGGGTACTGTGCTAGGGGATTGACGTGGGTACTGTGCTGGCCGGTTATGTGGGTACTGTGCCAGCGGGTGACGTGGGTACTGTGCTAGGGGATGATGTGATCAATATCAATATTAATATAAATATTAATATTAATATTATATGTGTAATCAATATTAATATTAATATTGTATGTGTAATTAATATTAATATACAATCATAACCTGTCATCATACTTCAATAATATCGGTTAATTAATCCTCACAGTAACTTCAGGTTTACAAACCACATATGTTCCAAAATTTAGGTTAAAGTTAAAACTGGGTTTGTAATAAAAATAAATTCTACGACAAAAGCTCCTTTTATGTTGTGAAATGCCCAAAGCCTCTGGTTATGTGCTTAACCCAAATCTCTTGCCCCTTGTTTATCGTACTGGAACTATAATCAATTGGTGATATCACTCCAACACCCGATCTTGAAGCTACCGCATTTCTACGTCTTGGAACATAATTCCAGCCTTGTTCGTGAAGCGAAACATTGCCACTTACTTGTGGCGGAACCGCCGTTACAAATCTTTGAATATGAACGCTGTCAGATGTTAGCATACTGAACAAAGACAATATATTCACTGTAAGATAAACCATTTCACAAATTCATGTGAGGAAGTATTTTACGTATGTGAACCATACTGTAATATCGGCAACATGGCCTGAAATACTGAAAAGAAATGTTTGAGAAACATTTTAAGTTTTGGGATGATAGAAACTTCCATCATTTCCATCAGTTTTGCAAGGATCTTTAAATTGGAAGCTCTGCATCCATGAGAGATAATAGAGAGTGTCAACAAATACTGTAATCAAATAATCTCTTTCTGCTACTGACATTAATACGCCCTTCACATGGACGTACAGCAGGAGAACTAGGTGAAGAAGTTATGATGATAGTGTACATTGTTTGCATGGTAAAAATTTAAAAAATGGTAACAATAACAACAATAATGCTGATGCTGTTGCCGATGATGATGCTGATGCTGCTGCTGCTGCTGCTGATGATGATGATGATAATAATAATAATAATAATAATAATAATAATAATAATAATAATATAACCGCATTTCCATCAAATGCAAGACGCCAAACTTAAATGTAGGTCACATGTACATACCACAACACAAAATACATCACAATACATGCCCAGGCTGATGCTCTTCATCGTCTAAACCTGAACTCACCCTTTCAACATCACCATCATAAGTCATATTCAAAAGCACGTCATGACGGAGATTGCAAAATCCACCTACCACCGCGGTCGCTTTCCGCACTCAGCCAGCATAAGTCCAACGTTAGCAAACACCAAAGTATGACTGAGGAATATTTGAGAATCTCAAAACCTATCTCCAATTTCTCCCTCTCTTGAACTCGTGCACTTCATTGGATGCCGCTAATCGCTTTCCAAGACATATCGCTACCGTTCTACCCCCTGGGATGGCACGATGACACACGGTAGCGAGGATATAATCAGGCAAGGGAGAACAGGTCGTCGCAGAATGGTGAGCAGCGGGAAATGTTGTATTTCATTGTCATGATTGTTGTTGGAGATGACTTCAAGCAAATTCATGATTTTTCCTGTACGCTGTTATGGGTATGGCTTTTTATCCGGGGCCTCTGCGGTATCATTGCCTAACCCGAACATATAGCGCAACCCGTTAAAGCGGGCGGTCCCGTACCCAGTGAATTCGATCAGATTCCAAATTTTCCGGATTAACTAGTACGTCAAAACAGCCTTAAATCAAATGTTTACTTCTTTGAACAGTATAGTTTTTTGGGAAGGAAGATTTTTCTGATTAACGGGGTTCGTACTACTGGGCGGGTTTGATAGAAGCGAATGGAGAGGTCGAGCGTCACAAAGGGTTTGACACATGAAACATCACATAGGTACAA